GGACTGGATGGGCTTTAAAGGTCCCTTCCAACCCAAACTGTTCCATGATTCTATGGTTAGAAACTTTGGTGATTGTGCTGACGTAGATGGGTCAAGGGGTTTTACTGCTGTCAATGGTTTACTTTATTGTAGAGAGCAAAAATAAGGTAAATTTATTGACATTTGGCAATCCTCTGGGAAAAACTTGGGCAACACTTTTGGGCATAGCTGCAATCTAAGACCAAACTAGATGGGAGCAACCTGGTTGTGGGGCTGTTTGCAGTTCCTTGAGGAGATGCAGGAAAAAAATCACAGAAAGGTTTGGGTTTGAAGGGACCTTTAAAGCCCATCCAGTCCCATGTGCTGCCATCGGCAGGGACACTTTCCACTAGCCCAGGTTGCTCCAAGCCCTGCCCAGCCTGGCCTTGGACACTTCCAGGGATGGGGCAGGACAGCTTCTCTGGGCATAAGGTCAGTGGCCTTGTCCAGCTCTGGGCACTTGCTTCTCCTGCAGATGCAGTTCTCGAGCATCTCTAGACTGCCTTGAACACGGGGAGTGGATGCTCTTGGCTTCCAGTTGCTGCAGCAACATGAGGTTGCACTGCTTCAGCACCCAGTGCATCCCACGGCGTGCTCTGCTCTGTGTGATCCAGGTGCTGTCCCGCTCTCCGAGGAGGTTTCCCTCAGCATTGTGGTGCTGGATCCCGTGCAGGCCCCAGGCCCGGCCGGGGCAGGGCAGGGGTGCGAGGGCCACGCGTGTGGGCGAGTGGGGGAAATGAGATCCTGCTGTGGCTCTCCCCTCCCTGTCCCGCTTCCTCCTCATTTACAGGCTGAGGAGGAAGAGCAGTGACCACGGAGATGGAGCTGCCTGGGCTGGACCTGCCTGTGGGAAGGGAACCAGGGTGCAGCCTTGCCCCCGGCACGGGGGGGTCTGGGAAGGGGCTGTGGCCGAGCCGCTGACCAGTTCCCCTCTTCCCCTCCCACACAGCCCTGTGCTCCCAGGAACATGGGTTTGCTTTCCACTAAGTCCTGCTCCTGCTGCTCTTCTGAGTTCTGAGGAGGAACCTTTTAGAGACTGAAGGGTCAAAGGTAGGATCCTTTGTAAAAGTCCTGCTGTGGTGTTTAGGTCCTGATCAAATTTTGTCCAATCCCAAAGGCCCCATTTTCGCAACTGTTTATGCTGGGACTCACCTGGATCCCTGGGATCCCTGTGGGCTCATTGCATTTTGTCAGTCTGGGGGGTTATTGCCTTCCCCCTCCTCCCTGAGCTCCCACAGCCCCAGTTCTTCAGCTGTCAGCAGCCAGTGTGTGGCTGCAAAGGTGGGTGAGCAAGCCCAGTGCTCTGCTCAGAACAACCCATAACTAATTCTGGGTTCAAAGAAGACTTCTTTGAAGACTCTTCCCATCACAAAACCTGGCAAGAGCTAGGAGATTCCTGACAACTGGAAATAAAGGGAAGAAATTCTTCTCTGTGAGGGTGGGGAGGCCCTGGCACAGGTTGCCCAGAGAAGCTGTGGCTTTCCCATCCCTTGAAGTGTTCAAGGCCAGGTTGGACAGGGCTTGGAGCAACTTGGGCTAGTGGAAGGTGTCCCTTCCCATGGCAGGGGGTGGAACTGGTTGGGCTTTAAAGGTCCCTTCAATCCAAACCATCCTGTGATTTCTATAAAACAGGGGAGCAGAGCTGGGCTTGGCTGTGGCCAAATGTGTAATTGCAGAGCAGGAGAGAGCCAGGAGTGTGGGCAGCTGCTGGAAAGGGAGCAGCAGTGGGGTGGGGAAGTCAGCCTAGAGAAAGGTGCTGGGGCTGTGGGGAGTCCCAGGCACAGGAGTCGCTGCAAAACCAGAGCCTGGAGCTTTAGTGAGTGCTGTCAGTGCTGGCACATGCCTTTCCTTGGACACCCGAGCAAGGCCAGGTGAAGCAGCAGGGAGGTGGCTTGGCTACAGCTGAAGGGGGAAGATTTTGCAGCTGGTTATAAATTGCTGAGTTTTGGCCCTTGGTTTCCCCTGCAGGAACTGCACCGAGGGGAGCTGTGCTTCCTGCAGAGCTCCCATCCCGCTGCGGCGCTGGGCTGGGGGAGCCCCTGCTCCTGTACATGGATGCATCTGTGCCGTCCTGGGATGGGACACATCCTTATCCCTGGGGATAAACTAGGGGAATTCCCGTGGAGAAATTCAGCCAGATGAAATTCCAGAGCTGTAGTTTAAAGTGTTCAGGCATCGAGCTGGCCATTTTAGCTTTCCCCTTTTGTCCATGTAACAAATTATCTGTTTTCTTTTTCATGTTCACAGTTCATCTTAAGTTAGAGGCAACTACTGCTACTGGCAGTTCTTGGAATACAGCAGACCTGGAGCTTCCTTTGTTTTGTCCAGAGCAGGTGGTTAAATAAAATAAAGATGCTTTCCACCATCCTCCCTTGCAGAACCACTTGTTTAATTCTCTCCACTTCTCCACCCCAGTGGGAGTCGAGGAAGCCCATGGAGAAACATTTCTGTTTCACTTTTCCCCCACTCACCGAGGCTGTGATCCTGCTACTGAGTGACCCTTCCACTCTGGAATAAATCACATTTCCTGCAGGAAAACACAGGTGCAGCAATGGGGCTGCTGTTTCCTGTTGCAGTTTCTCCTTTCCCAAGGGCCCTGTGCTGGGTGCAGCATTCCAGGAGTAACTGGGAGCCTGCCGTCTTGTCACAACTTTTCTCTTGGTTTCTGCTTGACAGTTTGAGGGTTGTTAAGGGAAAAAGATGGTTTGGAGGAAGAGGAGGTGGGAGGAACAGAGGAAGTTCACTGTGGGGATTCCCAGTTCTCTCCTACAGCTGCAGGAATTGCAGCTGCTCTTGTGGACGCAGCTCCAAGCAGCTGAATTTCCTTCAATTTAATCCACCTGGGCCATCGAGCTGGATTGGAGCTTCCTGAAGAGCTGCTTGGAGCAGCAGGTCCTGGCAGCTCAGTCCCTGTCCCTTTACTGTGCTGATATTAAAAAGTAAATTAAACTCCCATAAAGCACAGCCCATCCAGTGTGAGGGCTGGGGGGTTGGGGGGCGATGCTGCTGGGGAGGAAAAGGAGGGGACCGAGCAGCAGCTCTGGGACGTTTTCAGAACCACCCAGCTGCAGGATGTGGGGAAAGTGTGAAGTGCAGCACTTCTGCCAAACTGCCCCAGCACAGAGCACTGGCCTGGGGCTGCTTCTGGGGACAGGGGGGTGGGTGAAACCTGGGTGGGTGCTGCGGGCACTGTCCCACCCCACGGTGCCCTCGCTGCTGGGGAGGGGGGGTTACACTGCCCTGGCTCTGGGGATGGGCTGGGGGTGGAGCAGGGCATGAAACAGGCTGTTTTTTATTCCCAGTTCCTGCTGGGCAGCAGGAGGAAGCCGGCTTGACCCTCAAGGCATCACCGTGTTTGGTGGCACCACAAGGAGGGATCTCACCAGAAGGTCTCCCAGGAGCCTCCAGATCCAGTGAGCAGAGTATGGTCACAGCTGAGGATGCTCAAGTTTTACAGCTCCAGGTGACTCTCTGGCAGCTCCCGCATCTCCAAGCACCAGGTGAGGGGCTTGGGTGAGGGCTGGGCTTGTGGCAGGGTTTGGGATCAGCAGTTTATAACCACTGGCCAGTCTCAGCCCTTCGTGTGCCCTTGAGCAATGCCATGGGAATTTTGCCCTGCTGCAGTTTCTGCCACTCCTGTTCGCTTCTCTCTTCTCCTTCTTGATTTTTGTACGTCAAACTTCCTTGAAAATGGAGGAAACGAAACCACAGGGCTTATTGTTGAGTGACATGAGAGAGCTCAGCCTCCTCCCAGAGAAGAAATTCAATTTAGGGGGAGGGCAAAAAATTATCTCCCTGGTCATTTGTGTTGGCTGCAGGAGTTTGGGGGCCACGTGGTCTGGCAGGTGGGGGTCTCTCAGATGAGATGTCCCTTGGGAAGGTCTTGGTGTGCCACAGTTCATCTCCCAGCTCTGCAGAATATCCCACTGGTGCCAGGGAGCACATGGAATGTGGAGCATGGATATTGCAGGGCAGAACCTGCTGATCCCACTGGACAGGGTCCTGCTGCAGGGCTGGATCCCTTCTCCATAGTTCTGAACCCTTCCCCAGCTGGGTAGATCCAGACAAACTGTTTTCCTCCTCAGTGGAGGATCTGGGGCCTTGGAGATGCATGAGGACCATGGGAGAAGGGAGTTGTGGGGTGGGGAGATGGAGAGCAGGAGTAGATGGGAATGAGGAGTAAGGGGACCTCCCTGCTCATATTGCCTTGGAAATGTGGATCTTTGCTTCTTGTTAGCTGTGGGAAAAGCCATTTCTGCTGACTTTCCCACAGGGATCAGCACTCAGGAGTCCCTGTATCCAGATGGGTCTGACCTGTGCCCTGGGTGCTGGGTTTGCCGAAATCCCGAGCAATCCCAGGAGACCCAAAGGACTGGGGCTGGGGAATCTGAGCATCCCAAATCTCACCTACACAATGTGAGGGGCTGGGCATGGGTGTCCCAAAGTGGGGACTCAATGCATGGGACATGTCCAACCTTGGCTTGGGATGCAGCAGGAAACAACAGCACCTTCCTCCCCCATGGGATGCACATCCCTCGGCTCCTGTCAAAGTCCCTGTGCTGGGCACTGGAGACAAGCGGGGGCTGGAGGGACACAATGGGAATAGCTGCCATGCAGGGTGGTGGCGTTTCTCCACCCTGCAGGACTGGTGCCGTGGCTCCACAGACCTCCCTTCAGTCAAGATCTCTGCGCCCCGAAACCCGAGCAGGGGTTCTACTGCCTGAGCTGTGCAGAGCGGTCCCAGAGTCAGGCTTGTCCCTGGGAGCAGCAGGACAGGCAGGAACTGGTTCCCCCTGGCACCCCCTGGTTCCCTGCCCGGCCCCCCGAGGTTCCTCCTCGCCAGGGAGCTGTGTGTGAGTGCGTGACCCCGGCTGTAAGTGCTGAGATCAGTAAGCGAGGAGCTCGGCCGCGCTCTCTGCCTCCATGTGACTGCAGTTTCCGTTGCTCCTTCCGCAAAAGGCTATATCGGTGCTCAGCGAGAGGGTGGGTGGGACACACGCCCAGCGGGTCACCCCTGCCCCTGCCCTGAGAGCCCCCCGAGCGCAGCCCAGGGGCCACTGGCTGCAGGATGGACTGTGCCAAACCCTGCGCGCCGCCCCACGTGGTGAGTACCTGCCCCCCCTTTCCTCCCGATACCTGTGCTGGGGGAAAACCCCAAAGGGGATTTTTGGGGAGCCCTTTGTGCCAGTCTGAGGATCTGTGGTGGCTGTGTGTCACTAGTGCCCACGCTTGAAGAGCTGCGGCTGTGTGGGCCGGTGCTGGGGCTGGTGTGAGGCATGGGGAGCACCCTGGGTGCTCCCAGAGCTCTTGGATGTGGGCTCTGGTGTGGGGCTGCGGGCAGGGGTTTCCTGCCAGGGCTGCTGCCTGCTCTCCTGGCTGGGCAGGTGCCATCCCTGCAGCTCCAGGGAGGAGCGGGAGCATGGAGGTCCTTCTGGTGTTCAGAGAGGCCAAGAAAGGCTGGGCTGGGTGAAGGTAAGTGGGGGGTTCCGTAGAGGGGTTCAGGAGCCAGAGCCAAAGCTGCTGGGTTTTGGGTGCAGTGAGGACTTAGCACAGTCCCTCTCCTGCTTCCTGATGGGTATGAGGTGCTGCTGGAGACCAAGGGCTTGGGAGGGCAAAAGGTGCTGTGTGTCAGCTGCAGCTCAGGGAAGGGGGGCTTCCTCTGCACCTCCCCAGATTAATAAATGCTGCTTTGATAAGGCACCAGCTCAACACTTTTGGCTGTCCCAAGGAAAGAGACAGTCCAGGACATGCCCCTGCTCCCTCTGTGCTGGGAGGCTCTGCCTGCAGGGCTTCCCAAGATATCCCCGTTTCTCCTTCAAGCAGTGGCTGTTCTGAAAGTGCTGTGTGCCGAGGCCTTGCTGAGTCCTCACTGCTCATTTGCCTGAGTTTCAGCTTTTCCCCAGATGCAAATGCCATCAGCTTGGGTCCCACCAAGTCAGTAACGGGGCAGGTTGTGCTGGAGAGCCTCTGATTCCCTGGGAGGGCCCCTGGCAGGGATTGGTGCTGGGGGGCTCGGAGTGGGGGACTGGGTCAGTGTCCCCTGGGGCAGTGTTTGGTGTCAAGAGAGGGGACACAAGCCCTGCAGGGGGACTCCTCTGCTCAAGGGATGCAGTTCAGTGGCATTGACGAGCAGCTGTGCAGCTCTGATGGTGCCTTTCCCACGTGTGTGCCGCATGCAGGGACCAAGCTGCCACCTCCCTGTCCCTACTCTTCTCCAGCCCTCCAGGCTCAAACTGGGGGAGCCCCACCAGGAGTTCTTCTGGGGTGGATGGGCTTGGTGATGAGGCCCTTTGCCCCTTCTCCAAAGGCAGCTCGTGGTGGCCCAGGTCACCTGGGCCTTTTGGGGTGAGCAGTGTGCAGCTTCTGACATCCTGGCCTCTGTTTCCATCTCCGCAGGAGTGCTGCCGCTGAGATGGAGGCCCCGCTCCCTGGTCTCTCCTTGCTTCTGGTCCTCCTGGCAGTGGGATGGGGAAGCGGGGCAGTTGCAGCCTGGGCACCATCTCCAGGTGGCTGCGAGCTTGTAAGTCCTCTCCTGTGAACCCTCACCCTTCTGACTGCTTGGTCCTGCCTGGCAAAGCCCAGGTGCCTCAGCATCTCCAGACCTTCCCTGTCCTGGCTACTGACTTGGAGGGGACTGGGGTTCCAAGGTTCTAAACACAGAGCCACCTCCTCCATCCTCACTCTTCTCCCCAAACTTCTCCCTCCTCATCTCTGCCTCTCAGAGTGGTGTTACAGATCCTCCTCTTGCTTTAGGTGCAGAGCACCGTGGACTGCACTGGGAAATGGCTGAGCTCCATCCCAGGAAACCTTCGAGGTGATACTGAGGAGCTATTGCTCGATGACAACACTATCCAGGTCCTGGGAAATGCCTCTCTGCTTCCATATACCCAGCTCTGCCGTCTCAGTTTGACCAAGAACCGGCTGGAGCTCATCGAGCCTGGCGCCTTCCACAGCAGCCAAGGCCTCCAGGAACTCTCCTTGTCAGACAACCTCCTCTTCACCAACTACTCACTGACAGCAGCTGCTCTTTCTGCTCTGCAAGCCTTGAGGACACTGGATCTAGCTGGAAACCGCCTCACTGAGGACATGGTGTCGGTTCTGGTCTGGAACCTATCTTCCTTGGAGTCCCTATCTGTGGCCAGGAATGTCATCATGAGGCTGGACTCGTCCATTTTTACAAACCTGACACAGCTGCTGGAGCTGAACCTGGAGAAGAACTACATCTTTGAGATTGACGAAGCTTTTGAAGGGCTGCAGAGTCTGCAGAGGCTCAACATAGCTTACAACTATCTCCCATGTCTGATGGGGTTCGGCCTCACCCAGCTCAGGGTGCTCAACATCAGCAACAACATCATTGAGTGGTTTCTGGCCCTGGAAAGCGATGACCTCTTTGAGCTGGAGGTGCTGGACCTGTCCCACAACCGCCTGCTGTTCTTCCCCGTGCTGCCCCGGCACAACAAGCTCCACTCCCTGCTGCTGCAGGACAACAGGATGAGCTTCTACCAGCGCCTCCCCAACGGCACGTCCCTGGCCAACGTCACCGTGCAGTTCCTCATCATCGATGGCAACTCCACCAACATCACGACGGTCAGGCTCTGGGATGAGCTCTGCTACAGCAACCTCTCCTCCCTGCGCCTGCTGGACATGAGCCAGAACCAGGTCTGGGGCCTGCCAGAGGGTTTCCTGGCCCAGATGCCCTCCCTGACCCACCTGAAGCTCAACCAGAACTGCCTGGAGGCGTTTCACCTGTTGGAGGAGGGCCCCTTAGCCATGCTGACTGAGCTGGACCTCAGCCAGAACCAGCTGGTGGGGCTGGGGACAGAGGTGGGTGTCGGGGACGTCCTGCCCAACCTGCAGCTCTTTAATGTCAGCTCCAACAGGCTGCGGGCGCTTCCTCCCGGGGTTTTCACCCACACCAGGAAGATCACTACCGTGGACCTCAGCCACAACCAGCTTGACCTCTGTCCCCAGCCAGACGTTGCAGGTGAGGTGGAGACTCCCCCCTGCGTGGACATCAGGGGCGTGGAGACCTTGACCCACCTCTCCTTGGCCGGCTGTGGTCTGAGGGGGCTGGGCGGCCGCCCCTTCCAGGGAACGTCGCTGGTCCACCTGGACCTCTCCGACAACTGCCAGGCACTGTCCGGGGGCCTGGGGTGGCTGCAGGACCTTGCCCTGACGCTGCAGGTGCTGTCTCTAAGGAACACCAGCCTCTCCTCCGCCGCCCTGGACTTCTCCGCCCTCAACAGCCTCGTGCGCTTGGACCTTTCGGGGAATTCCTTGACCGCCTTCCCCGCCTCGCTGGGCGCCCTGGAGCTGCACAGCCTGGACCTGCGGGACAACTGCCTGCCGGCGCTGCCGCCGGGCGCGGCGCGGACGCCGCTGGGGAGGAGCCTGCGGGAGCTCTACCTCAGCCGAAACCCCTACAACTGCTGCACGCTGGGCTGGTGGGACGCCCTGCAGCGGGTGGAGGGGCTGCGCGTCCCCGACGGGCGGGAGGTGACCTGCAGCCACGGCTCCCGCACCCTGAGCCCCGGCGCGCTGCCCGAGCCCGTCCTGCGGAGCTGCCGCTGGCAGACGGCAGACCTGGCGCTGCTCTACCTCGTGCTGGCTCTGCCCACCTGCCTGACGCTCCTGGTGGCCTTCGCTGTCATTTTCCTCATGCTCAAGGAGAGGCTGCTGAAGATGCTGAAAAACCGGTGTGGGGCTTCCAGCCCTTACTGATGGCTGAGGAGGAGGAGGAAGGGCTCAGGACGGGGAATGCAAGTGGGTGGGTGGTTGGCCGCTTACAGGATTACAGGTGATAACCCCTTCAGGGTGAGTGAGATGGAGAGTCGATGGATGGAGGACACGGGGTGCTGGGAGAGCCCTAATGGTACCCAAAGGGTGCAGGGCTGTGTCCGGTGATGGAGCCTGGGAATCCTCAAGGGACACGTGTTCAGCAGAAACCTTCAGCTTGTGTGGACAAGAGCTAAGCAGACACGACATCAAATACCTCTTGGCTGAAGGGACAGGTTGCCCAGAGAAGCTGTGGATGCCACATCCCTGAAGTGTTCAAGGCTAGGTTGGACGGGGCTTGCAGCAACCTGGGTTAGTGGAAGGTGTCCCTGCCCATGGCAGAGAGGTGGATCCAGATGTTTTTTTAAGGTCCCTTCCAACCCAAATCACTCTGTGATTCTGTGACCGTTTTCCGCAGCGCTGTTTCCTCTCTCCACCCCCTCCCTCCCCCGCCCCGCTACCCCTTTACCCCTTTCAGGCAGTTCCTTTTATTTATTCCCACCTCAAAACATCCTCCAGATCTGCAACGGCCTCCACGAAGTGCCCCGGGCTGGAGCAGACATGACCCGGGCGCTGCAGAGAAAGATCTCTGTAGCCTCAGCCTCCCACAGTGCTTTTGCGGGCACTGCAAACCCGCAGGCAGCCCGGGGCGTGCACCCTGTGCGTGCGCTGATAAGATGGGCGTTGTCAGCAGGGTTGAACACATTTTGGGGGTTCGTTTCTTTGCTGAGCCTCAGCCTTGGTTAGAAACGTCCATTAAAACCAGCCTGGGTGAAACAATGTGAAACATTGATTGAAAGGCAGGAGAGTGAATTATATCCCTGGTGATATTTTATTATGGACTTATTTTCTGCCAGCAGTGCTGGATTAAAGATGCAAAGGAAGTAAGAGGAAAGCCCTCCCCCTCGTTGTGCAAGCCCCGCTCCGGTGGGTGTGGGGGGTTTCCTCCACCCAGCTCCAGTCACAGCTCACACCGTCCCTCCCGGAGCAGCAGCGCTACCTGGGGAAGTGCCGCTCCGTTCTTCGGAGAGGCTCCTCAGAGGAAAGCAGTGATGGTGGTTTGTGCTAACTCAAAAGCCCTGCTGAGAACTGGAGCGGCTTTATTCCCTGGCACTGTCGGGATTTTCCAGTGAAACATGTTTAATTGGGAACAGGGGAAGCGGCAGTGCCGGTGTGGGCACGCCGGGGGCATGTCCTTGTGTGTGTGGGCTCAGCAGGGTGATGTGGGGTGTGCTGGGGGCTCGAGCCCACTGGAGTTGTCCTGGGAGGTTGTGGAGGGAGATGCCCAGGCTGGCGTGGGACTGCGAAGATGCCGAGGGCAGTGCAGGCAGCAGGAGCAGGGCAGCCCCCTCCACGGCAGAGGTGTGGGACAGGGACTGGGGTCACGGTGAGCCTGGTGTAGCCATGCTGGGCTGGGAAGTGGCGCAGGTTGGACCCTGCTGGACCTGCTGGCAGTTCCAATAGGGCTGAGCATGGCCAAGGCTCTGGAAATGGCTGCTTTCTGGTCCTATTTTAGACTGAACTAGCCAAAACCAAACCAGGGCCCAGCTGGGGAATCCCTCAGCCTCTTTCAGCCCTTCTTTTGCCCGTAAGCTGCACCCCTGGGGGACAGCAGTGACCTATAAATACACCCCTGCGCTGTCTCCTGGCAGCGTTCCAATGTCTCCCTGATGGCAGGGTGAGCAGGTGCCCCAAACCCCTGGGGGTTTTCCTCTCCTGTGGGTGCCAGGGCCAGCCTTGGAGGGTGGATGCGTTCGCTTTCCCACCACCACAGCCAATGCTGCTTCTCCTTTTGGAAGGGGGATGTGGGGTGCAGGTGGGAACACACGCAGGGAGGAACCCGGGCACCCGGCACTGCCCAGGGCATGGATAAAGAGTGGGGGTTCTTGGCTGTATTGAGCTGATGTGGGGGATAATCCACACTCCCCCATCACATGCCTGCAAAGCTGAGGCTCGCCTGAAGCTGAGATGTGCATGGGATGTCAGGGCAACAGGAGGAGATTCCACCTTCAGAGTGGTGGACATCCTTACAAAGCTGCTCTCACCATCTTGCAAGGTCATGGTGATAGGGAATGCCCTCTGTGACTGGAGAACCCAAGTGTCCCACCCAGCTTCAGTAATGGCCAAAAGGACATCCCAGGGAACAACACCTTCATGTTGGGAAAACCACGGAGTATCCTTTGTTTGGAGCATATCTCTAGAAGAGGGTGGCTGGGAGCAGTGAGCATGGATTGATGACCTGTGCCTGCCCAACCTGCTTTCCTCTCAGACTGAAATGGGTGGATCTGGAAGGTGGTGGGTGCCGTTTCCCTCAGCTTCAGCAAGGCTTTGGACACTGTTCCAGAACATTTTTCATCCAAGTGCAGATGTCACGGTCTGGATGGGTGAGCACTTGGCAGGTAAGGATCAGCTGGATGATGAAGCACACAAGGTAGTGGTTAGGAGGAGGCTGGTGAAAAAACACCAGGGTCTGGTTTGGGATCTGTCCTGTTTCATCTTTGTCCATGATCTGAAGAAGGCTGTGGAGCACCTCTGTGGCAAGTTCACAGATGAGCCCGAACTGGGAGGACCAGTAGGGCTCCATCTTGAAGCACTGGTGTGGGCTGGAAGGACGGGCCAGCAGGAACCTCAGGGTCCAGAGAGGTGATTACCCCCTCAACTGGGCACTTGTTAGGCCTCATGAAGCCCCCACTGTGAGGAGGGCCATGCCCAGGGAGGGGGTGCAGCCACATCCTCCCAGCCCAGCCAGGACAGCACTGGGTGCAGGCTGGGTGTGAAGGAGGAGCTCCCATGGCCCCCTCCCACCCGACTGGGAGATCTTTCTCTGCTGTTCTGTCACAGTCTTTGAGGAAAGGCCTGTGCCAGAGTCCCACACGCCCCTTCCGGTCCTGGGAGAGCTGAGTCAGGCTTTAGATTTCTTTAATTTTGGCAAGTGAGGCACCAGCTTCGGTTTCTAACTGAAGACCCCCGTGGCCAAGTGTGAGCTCCCTCCTGCTCTGCAGTGATGGCACAGCACGGTGGTTTCACCGAGACCCGTTCCAGATTTTCCCAGCAGTGACTCTATCGTTTCGGTGTGTGGGAGGAGAGCTCCTCCAGCCCCAGCTCCTGTGCTGCCACAAGACATCTTGCTGATAAATTTAACATGTTTTATTTAGTTTGTGGTTGCGAGAAGGAAGGCAGGAACTAGTCTGGGAGGCCATTTACAACTCCTCTGAGTTACCTCAGGTAGCAGCTCGGGATGAAGTCCATCCCACCCACAGCCCTCATGGCCACCTGGGTTCAGAAAGCCAAAACCCGGGAAGCTTTTGGAGTTGTGCAATTTCCTAAAAAATCATAAACTCAGTCCTCCAGTTGTTGCAGGAGAGAAGGATTTGCCTGGTACAGACCAGCTGAGATAGACAGTGGCAATAAAAGCTTCAGTGGGATGAGTGAACGTTTTGTTTTACTCTAAAGTCCAGGCTTTGACCGTTTACCACTCTATTTTTTTTGATACTTTAAGCACATTCTCCCAGAATTGAGCACTTACAAGAAAGCATCATCCAGCAGTGTAGGGAACCAACCACCTCACTGCAGCAATTTGAAATCACTGTGTGTTCAAAAGTGCTTTCAAGACTAATCCATTTTCTAGATATTCCTTTTTTTAAACATAAGGATTTATATTTGTGTAAGCTAAAACTGGAGATTTAAGCATTTTTCAGGAAATATGAGAGTAATACCCTCTTGATTTATCCAGAAAGAATGATATATATTTAACTTCCCAGCAGGCAGTAAGAAACACTCTACTTGTGCAATACAGCTTTAACAGTGCTTTCAGGACATGAATATTTAACACTTCATTTTCAACCAAAGCTGACTGAAATGTAAAAAAAAAAAAAATTGAAAGATTAAATAATTTAAAATTCTTTTATGTAGGAAAAGACTAAAATCACCCAACGATTTCAGCTGCCCAGTTTCCATTTCATCAAGTCTGGCTTCTTAAACAAAGCTCTCTTAACCCTGGGATGGCTGTGGCCCTTCAGGTTCTCCTGTAGCCAACGTGCATCAGTTCCGTGCGGCACTGACATCGTCCTCCCTGCTGGGACACTGAGGTTTGTCTCTGAGCTGCCCATCCACGACACTTCTGTCTGGAATCAGATTTCTTCATCTGACTCCATGTCCCAACCACAGGACTCCAGCTGCTCATCCTGTGGGAACTCCACCTCAATGTCGTAGACGAAATCAGGGTCATCCTTCTTCTTCCTGTTCTTTTCGAAGAGCTCATCCATGATGCTCTTCCTCTTGGCTAGTTCCTTGTCGTCTAGTTTGTTCATATCCTCCTCTGGGTCGATGGTCTCTTCCTGCTGAAACTTTTCCAAGCTCTCAGCCAGGCTCTCTCCTCCCAGATGACCTCTCAGCAAACTGTAGAGCTTCCGGAGCTGACGCAGCGAGACCCCTTCCAGGTAGGCCTTGTGCCGAGGGTTGTTCTTCAGCTGCTCGGCGGCAACGCTGCAGTCTGGAGACAAAAACCACCACGAGGACTTACAGCTGCAAGCAAAGCTCTTCCCAGAGATACTTCTTCTCCCAGTGCCTCCCAAGGGTGTCTCTCCAAACCCTCCAGACTTAGAGGGCCACTGCTCAGGTTGAGATGGAGCCTTGGGTTCCTTGGGGAGACAGTGTCACCCCAAAACAACCCCTGTCTGCACGCCCTGCACGCTGGTAAGAGGCTACTCAGCTGTTACTAACAATGCTGTTACCATTGAGTTCCTCTCTGTGTGTCTGGAGGGGACCTGGGGAATGCTACAGGTGAATGAATGCACCTCACCTGAGAACTTGGAGAAATTCCTGACGGGCATGATGCGCCGGCGGGTCTTATCCTGGCTGTGGTCTCTGTAGACGAGGACGATGGATGGGGGCTGGAAGCAGACCCCACACTTCTGTGCATTGAAAGTCATCCTAGTCCTGCTGCTGGGAGTGGCCTCATCAGAGTCCTCAGCAATGGTGAACCTCAATGGGAAACAGGGAAAAAGGAATTGAAGTCTGAGTGCCCCTCAGCTCTGGCCTTTTGTCAGGAGTAGAGTGCCATGTTCAGCAAAATCACAGAATCCCAGGATGGTTTGGGTTGGAAGGGACCTTAAAGCCCATCCAGTCATGGGCAGGGACACCTTCCACTAGCCCACATTGCTCCAAGTCCCATCCAGCCTGGCCTTGGACACTTGCAGGGATGGGGCAGCCACAGCTTCTCTGGGCAACCTGTGCCAGGGCCTCCCCACCCTCCCAGGGAGGAATTCCCTTATTTGTCTCTGTTTGTCACAAGCCTGGGGCTATCACACTCCTGGTTCCATATGGTGAGTGACAGCCTTGCACCCACAGTGTTGATGTATCTAATACTGGGATTGCCCCTTTTTAAAGATTTTAAGAGCAGGGGCACCCATCAGTGTTTGCTTTCTGAAGCTTCAGACCAATCTCGCTACAGCACCAGACCTGTAACCTGTGACAGAGGGGGCAAGGAGAGAGAACAGTCAGAAATGAAAACCAAAAATAACAAAACTCCTTATTAGGTGACAACAAAAATAGGAATTAATTTTAAAGAGTGGAGATGTCTCCTTTTAAAGTAAGGGCTGCTGAACTCTCAGGTACGAGTGCCTCAGTCAGCTACTACATGGAGGAGGTTATGCAGTTAATCCCTAATTATCCTTTTTACTTTGCTCTGAAACATTTGGTTTGCAGCAGGACAGGAGGAACATCAGCCTGACTGGCAGCAACAACTTCTCTTTTCTGCCTTATCACATCTGTCCCCAAATGCTCTTGGGAACTTCTCAGCATCCGCTCTGCCCTTGGCTCCACCCCCTTTTTGGGTGAAAATTAATGAATTATGAAATTAAACTAGAGCAGATTTAAAGTCTGCTGCAGATCCTGTTTCCCAGCTCAGCTAACAGCACTGAGTGCATGTGCTACTTCTATTTTGGTTTTAGATAAGTGAAAGTATGCCAGATGTGAAGGTGAGCTCAGACTGCCCTACAGACTCCAAGCGAGGCAAAGTAACAAACTATACCCCCCAAAAACATCAGTGTGTGTCTCCAAATCGAGAAAAATTACATTAATATTCAAAAGCTGCTTTGAAGTAGAGTAGAAGTCTTCTTTCTTTGTTAAAAGCCACATAGGAAAGAGTTCAAATTTGCAGTAAAGTCCTTAATAGTGGAGATTAACCGCCCTGGAATTGTCCAAGGCCAGGCTGGACGGGGCTTGGAGCAGCCTGGTCTAGTGGAAGGTGTCCCTGCCCACGGCATGGGGTGGAACGAAATGAGCTTTATGGTCTCTTCCAACCCAGACCAGCCTGGGATTCTGTGAAGACGAGAAACATAAAGGCGAGCAGCTGCTCTTTGGATCCGCGGCTGTGTTTTACGGCGCTGCCAACACCGGCGCGGCAGCGGCGCTGCTTTTGCTGTTAAAAAGCCGTTTTTCCGCGCAGGAGCAGCTCGGGGCGGGGGGCGGGGCCGAGCTGGGCCCTCCCGCCCCTCGCAGATCCCTGATGGGTCCGGGAAGGGACCACAAGGGCTCATCGCGTCCCTCCTCCCTGCTCCAGCAGGGCCATCCCAGAGCAAACGGCACAGGACTGTGTCCAGAGGGGAGTGGGATATCCCAGGGATATTCCAGAGTGAGGAGACTCCACACCCTCTCTGGGCAATCCTTTCAGTGCTCGGTCACTGCACAGGGAAGGAATTGTCCCTCGTGTCCAGGTGGAACTTCCTGAGCATCAGTTCCTGTGCTGGGCACGCACTGCTGGGCCGCCCCGAGCAGAGCCGGGTCCCTTCCCAGCCCTTCCCTGCAGACCCTGACAGACATGGGGGAGGGCCCTCTCAGCGTCTCCTCTGGAGGCTGAACAGCCCCGGCTCCCTCAGCCTTTCCTGCTCCCGGAGATGCTCCATCCCTTCAGCATCTCCGTACCCTCCGCTGGACCCGCTCCAGGCGCTCCATGTCCCTCTTGTACTCCCGCCCATTCCCTCACCTCAGGGCCGGGCAGGAAGGCGCTGCCTCCTCCTCCTCCTCCTCCTCCCGCCCGGTTGCCATGGCTACGGCGGCCGCGGAGCCAAAGGCCCCGTGCTCCGAAGGCCCCCTCCGGGCTGTCCTCACCGACGCCTGCGGGTCGCGGCGCGGCGGAGCGAGGCGCGGGCGGGCCCCGCGCGGTCCGGCGGCGCGGCGGGCAGCCCTGGGAGCGGGCGCCATGGCGGGCGGTCGGCGGGTGGGCGCGGGGCTGGGAGCGCTGCTGTGCGCCCTCCGTGAGTGCCCGCGGAACGGGGACGGGAACGGGAACGGGAACGGCAACGGGAACGGGAACGGGAACGGCCTCTGCGCTGGGACGGGCCGCGAGGGCTGGGCGTGCGCAGCACGGGCAGGAGGAGGCTCCGGGGAGACCTTAGAGCCCCTTTCAGTGCCTGAAGGCGCTCCAGGAGAGCTGGAGAAGGACTGTGGGCAAGGGCCTGGAGGGACGGGACACAGGGAATGGCTTCCCACTGCCAGGGGGCAGGGTTAGATGGGATATTGGGAAGGAATTGTTCCCTGTGAGGGTGGGGAGGCCCTGGCACAGGTTGCCCAGAGAAGCTGTGGCTGCCCCATCCCTGCAAGTGTCCAAGGCCAGGTTGGACGGGGCTTGGAGCAACCTGGGCTAGTGGAAGGCTTCCCTGCCCGTGGCAGGGGGTGGAATGAGATGGGCTTTAAGCTCCCTCCCAACGCAAACCATTCTGTGATTTGGGAAGCATTTCTCAGTCATTGGCCCAAGAAAACTCTTCTGCTGTTGATCACAGCCAAATTCTGCAGTGAGAGGTTTTGTAGATGAGATATTCATGCATTATATGGCTTCACTGGTTGAAGCTGCCAGCCCGTGTGATCTGTGTGTGTGCTGTGATCACTGTGAGTGCTGTGATCTCTGTGCTGTGATCTCTGTGCTGTGATCTCTCTGCTGCTCTGTGCACACTGTAACCTGTAGTCTCTGTGTCACCTCAGATGTGCAGGCGGCCTGTCGGGACACCACAGTCACACAGGAGCTCCTCAAGGAGGGGTTTCACAGGTGAGTGCTCTCTTAGCCCTCCATCAGCACAGTGTGAGGGCTGATTTTACATGAGAAGAAGTTTCTCCTCTTTTCAGGCACAGTTGTATCAGCTCCTTGAGCCGTGATCCTCGGGCATGTCTCAGGAATGGATTAACATGATCAAGTGATTAACAAGCTCTAGTGGAGGAGAACACTCCCCACTAGAGTTCCCTTTCTAAGACCTCTGTGGAGACCATTGGTAATTGAGAAGTTAACAAAGAAGTGAAACTTCATTTTGGCCATGGATGTGGAGTTGGGGTGAGGGAGAGCGCGGCTTGGCAGAGAACTGAGTTCTGAATGAATTGCACAGTGTGAGAGCTGCACCTTATCTCTGTGCATCTGGGAAATGTCTCTCAGGGGTTTTGTGCTGACTTTTGAAGGGCAGGTATAAATGTTTTGCTCCTGTTCTTGCTTGAAGGGACCTGCTGGTGAAGGTGGTGCTCGGGGAGGATGCAGGGAGATGTGCAGTGGCAGCGAGAATTCATCTTCCACCGGGAATCTACGTGGATCCCTACGAGCTGGCGACGCTGCAGCAGCAAAATTTAACCAAGGTAACAGCCCCCAATGCCAGGAGATCTGGCAGTGACCCGGAGAAGGACTCAGGGAGTTGTAATCTCTGCTCATTATCTGGCTTGTTGCACCAAGGGGATTAATCCCTGGAAGGAGATGCCACACAGAATTGTCTTTGTGACTGTATCTCTGGTTTGATCAGCATCAGTTTTGTGTCGTGTGCTGCTGATATTCCCTCACACTGTCTGGTGGAGCTGCTGCTCCTCTGCTTAGCCCCCAGGTGAGCAGCTATGGGAAGAACAGTCAGGTTGAGAGGGGGAAGGATAAACCCCCAAAAAGGTGGTGGGGAGCTGTAAGCAACATGCTGTGTGTTCAGACAGAGTGGCTTCCCAGCTTTGTTTTCATCCCAGCTTTCTGTATTAGTTTCCAGTCTTTGCTTCACATTTTGGGTAGAGAGATCTGCAAAAGCCGTGGCTTTAATTTCCTTACGTGCTTGATTTGCTTAAAACACGGATGCAAAGGCTGTGGGCACCTTCTGCCTCTGGGATGCCTGAGGTGCAGGTCTGACCCTGCTTACACACTTCATTGAGCTGATGCCTCCCAGGTTTGGCTGCGGGAACAGTGACACTAAGCTTTTCACATGTAGGAATCAGTCATTGGAGAGGGACTTAGAAAGGTATTTTGGAGCAGCTTAAGGCCAGAATCTCCAGCTTGATCACGAATTAAGAAAATAAAATGGGGGAAATTGTTTTCCCACCTTGTGTCAATTCTGATCCCAGCCACACCTGTATCTTTCCTACTCGCAGGCGCTGTTAATTCCTGACGTCACTGATGTGGAGGCTCCCGAGTACTTGGCCACGGCTCTTGTCTTGGTGCTGTTCCTGGAAGCAGACCCGCGGTGTTCCCGCTGTTTCCATGCTGCCGTGCCCGTGCACGCGCGGTACCACCGGCCCGCCGAGGGGAGCCAGCATGCCTTGGTCACTCTGGAGAGCCCACAAGTGCTGCTCTGCTGCTGCCACAGTGAGATTCTCAGTGATGTTCTTCTGGGGAGAGAGGAATAAGTTGGGCAGTCCAGAGCTTGGAATCTGGCTCTGTATTTGTCTGCTGGACACGGAGCTCTCGGTCCTTGTGTGAGCACGAGGGGAAGGTGTGGCCCTGATAAACACCCCATTGTCTTCCTCACTGGATGCTGCTGCCTGGGCAAAGGCAGGTGGATTGTCAGCACACCTCTTGGTGTTGTGGTGCTGCCATTGTACCTCTGTGCTGTCTGGGTTCTTCCAGCTGGAAGTGCTGGGAGTTGTCACCATCCGTGTGTTTGTCATGATTCTGGCAGGCCCTGGCTTGCCAAAGGCCTCCTGCTCCAACCACGTTTTCCTGGTGTTTCCCTTGGCAGCTGAAGCTGTGCAGGGTGTATTTAGTATCCACTGTCACCTATTTAGAGGAATCAAAGTGTTCTGATGGCTCCTAACACTTTGTTCCTGCATTCCCTCTATACAAGGGGGGAATGGAGGAAACTGTGCCTGAAGCTTAGAATGGTCGGAGTCTCAAACTGGGATGAAACAAGAACCTGATACCACTGACAATGAGTATTTCAAGTTATATGAACAATGAAATCTTATGGTTTTGCTGCAAATCTTGTGTCCCTTCACAAAATCATGCCTGCCAGGTGCCAAATCAAACACACTAATGTTTTTCAACTCCTTTATCTTCACCTGTGCATCACTTGAGCAGTGACTTTCTGGGATAAACATAGGGACAGGCAAGACTGCCTTTTCACTTAAAAAAGGGGTCTGCAATCTTCCTGGTTTTCTGCCACATTTACTACTTATGAACAGGAAAACATTTATTATTAATATGAAAAGCTGCAAAGTATTGGGAGTTCTTGCATGTACTGACAGAAGGCCAAGAAGGAGAAGTGGAAGAATGACTTACTTATTTTGGGCAAAATTCTAAGTATGGGTAAATTTGAAGGATCTACAGACTAACAAGGAATTCTGTGCCCTGTTAAGGACAGAAGGGCCAAGATACCACGCAAGTGAGATTCTTTCTTTCTTGGGTACCTGCTGTATCAGGCAGGGAATTGTTGCAGAGTTCACAGAAGGGACTGCCCAGCATCACTTTGGCCATGCAGGGGAGCTGGCACATTTCTGTTTCACCAATTGCCTTCCAGGGAGTTGATTCTGTCAAGCTGTTTTGGGGGAAAAGATCCCTTATTTGGCAGAGTCTTGCAGGCCAGATTTCTTCATCCCCCCTGGCTCCTGCTGATGCACTGATGCCTTCCCTAGGTCACCTGGCAGCAGAGTGCTGGGAGCCTGCTGAAGTGGGAGCTCCCTGCTCGGCCGAGAACGTCGGTCCCTGTCAGTGGCACAGCACAACACACAGACCCGTGAGTTCTCCTTTCTGGTTCTTTTTAACATTTCCTGGTTCTCTTTTTGGTGTGATTAGCAACTTCCACAGGACAGGAATTAATCAGTGGAAGACTAGTTGGGTGGTTTTCCCCTTTGGGAGGCTCCTTTCTTCCTTTCTGACTGGCTTTTGGCGGGGGTCATCCTGCCCTTCTGCTATGCTTACAGTCACTCTGTGCTCTCCTGGCCCTTTGGGATGGCTGCTCTCCTCACCTCTTTTTTTCCTTACTAGTTTACTTGGAATTCTAGGATATAATTGGCTCTGGTCAAATTACAATTTACAATGTTGGTGCTTCAGAGGAGTAGCAAAGTGGAAAACTGCTTGATGATCTAACTAAAGTAGGGGTAAAACTGCAAAGACTTAAGGAATAGCATCCTAAAAAAAGGGCCACTTCTGTTTGTTTGTTGGTATCTGATTGGGTAAGTATTTAGGAAAGGTGGAATTTCTTATTCTGTGTTCAAAACCAAGGAAAACTGGATCTTTAGTGTGTTCAACAACTGCCTTTGATGCTCAGAAGGGTTGCAGTAGCATGGGAATTCAGAAATAAGACTGATTTATATAATAAAAATATATAAAATATTAAATATATATTTTATAATCTAATATATAAAAATAATAAAAATATATAAAAATATATAAAAATATAATTAAAAATCTGCTGTTGTTGTAACACACATGCCTTCTTATATTTAAGGTGCTTGGAGATGCCTGGGATATCTGCATCTCTTGTCCAAAAACACTTTGGAGCTTCCTGCATCCACAAAAAAAACAAATAGTTGTTCACCTTGAGGAAATGTGTCTTCTCAGTGATCAGAGTTCACTGTGAAAGCTGCTCTCCTCCATGTGGTATTCCCTACACATTCCCAGGGCAAGGCTGGTGTAGGAACAGAGATACAGGGCCATTTACTGAGCTTTGCAGTGCAGCAGTGGCTGGCACTGTGTTTGCTGAGAACTAAAAGGGGATGTCCCATCTTAGTTTTGATTTCGAATCCAGAAGAAGCCTCAGCCAAGGGCTGATTAAATCAGGGTCTGGTTACTAATCCTCTCAGTTGCAGTCAAAATGGAAGAGTTTGTTAAATGAGTACAATCTGTTTGTTTTTCCTTGCAGGCACGGGAGGAATTGATGCTGGAGGTTCCTGTGGGGCTCAGAGAACACAGTTCCCTGGTGTGTGCCCTGACCCTGCTCACCACCCTGCTCTGTGCCAGCCTCATCCTCACTGCCACCTGCAGGCACGGACACTTCTCCCTGTGACCTGCTCAGAGGGAGGAAACACGGAATTCACTGACCCCCATCCAGCAAAACTAACTGGATATTACACCAGCTTCCTGGATGGATCCTGTTCTACTGCTATTTGTATCTTAGGGGGTGCAAGGGTCCCACAATGGGTTACAGTTCCTTTGCCTTAATGCTTGGAAACACCTTCCACAACCCAGAAGACGGTTTGGATGTGTTGTCCATAGCCAAAGCAGATGGAGGCAGGAAAAAGCCTCAGGAAGCTGAAAGCACTGCTGTGGGCAGTAGGACAACAGTCAGGAGTGGAGTTTGGGGCTGCCATTCCCTCCTTCTGGCCCAGAGCCTGCATCCAGTGCTGCCTCTTGTAGAGCTGTTTGTACTTCTCGACTCAGGGATTGGTTATTAACGGTATGGAAAACATTATGGAGTCATTAAAGTGTCTGAATTTTAAGCTTCTTGTGCAGATGGGTTATGTATGAATTTGTGAAGAGACATTCTGTGCATACCTGGGACAGGAGAAGGCTGAAATAATCTCTCCCATTCTCAGAATTGGGAGGGATTCGCTGCTCTTGGTCAAATTATAATCATGGAATCATTTTGGTTGGGAAACCCCTCGAAGACCATCAAGTCTAACCATTCCCCAGCACTGCCAAGGCCACCACTAACCCATGTCCCCAAGTGCCACATCCACATGGCTTTTAAATCTCTCCAGTGATGTGGACTCTACCACTGCCCTGGGCAGCTGTGCCAGGGCTGGACAAGCCTTTCCATGAAGAATCTGTCCCAATTATCCAACCTAAACCTCCCCTGGTGCAAGGTGAGGCTGCTTCCTCTCATCCTTGTTCCCTGGAAGCAGAGCCCGTCCCCCACCTGGCTCCACCCTCCTGTCAGGGACTTGTAGAGATGGAGAAGGTCGCCCGTGAGCCTCTTTTTCTCCAGGCTGAACAGCTGATCAGAGTTGAAGTTCAGAAAGGTTGAAAGAAACTTCACCCTGCTTCGGGAGCGGAAAGAGCCCCTTGGAAGATGAGAGCCAGTGAAAAGATAGTGACTAGAAGCAAATATTTAGAAGACTTGCATTCAGTCTCTAGGAGATTTGATAAATACGAGGAAATGGAGAGGAAATTACCTAATGGAAAGGCTGAGTGGCTCTGGAGCGGCAGAGGCGCTCGGGCGCTGTCTCCAGTTGTCAGTAGGTGGCACCGTGAGCCCGCGGTAACTCCCGCGTGGAGGATTTTATTCCCTATGAACTGCGGGTGCGTCAGTAAAAGCAGGTGATTTGAGGGAGTGCGTGTGTGAGGGGGGTGAATGAAAACTCCTTGTATGGGCTCAGTGTGTGGCCGAGCCTTCCCGGCAGCAGCATTGTCCTTTCATCGCTGTCCAGCTGTAGCCTCAGGATCCCTTGGGCATCTTTCTCCTGCCGGAATTCTACTGAGAGCTCGTCTTGTGACTTCGCCCACGACAGGTTGGCAAGTGCTCGGACACTGGGCTCTTGTTTCCCTTTGGTGGCCGTGCCAGGACTTCATCCACTACCTCAGAGGGGTCAGCTCTGCATCTGCTGGGGGAAACGTGAAAAGGCAAAAATCAAAGAGAGATTCGGGCTGCTTAACCCCTATCAGCGCTGGGACCAGCATTGTTCTGCTTGTCTCCTAGTGGGATTTTTAATTCCCAGAGCTGAATTTGTTCCTGGGCTCTCTCTGTCTTACACTTCCACGGATGGGGCAGCCACAGCTTCTCTGGGCAACCTGTGCCAGGGCCTCCCCACCCTCACAGGGAAGAATTTCCTCCCAATGTTCAATCTAAACCTACTCTCTCATCTTTTGAACAAATGAGAAAAAATATTGCAAGGGGCAAAAATACATAGGTAAAATATAGATCAAGATTCCTATCAATCAGCTTTTGAGCTCAATACAAGGGTCGGACACAAACACTTCTATCATTCATGTGTAAGGACTGAATCAGAGCGGGGAAGGAAAAGGGGATGGGGTGTTGAAGGCCATGTTGGGAGTTTAGGCTTTCTGAACACAAATTAATGGGTATAACCAAAAAAACCCCACCCCCCCCCCAAAAAAAAAAAAAGAAAAAACCCTCCTAGTTTGTTTCAAAAGCTGTGCTTGGGGAGGGAGACAGAAGGAGGGGGGTCAGGATTCTGCAAGGAGGGGGAGCTGAGAGGGACTAGGGGTACCGGGCAAAGGCAGCACAGAGGGTGAGGTGCCTCCCGGGGATGGGAAGCAGAGCTGAGGGAAGGGTGAAGTCACAAACCCGCTGTGGTTTCTCCACAGAGAGGATGCAAAAAGTGAATTAGCAAAAGCTAATTGATCCTGGGAGGATCACGTGTGGAGCTGAGTCAAAAAGGGAAAGTAACATGTAGGGAAGGAGGAGCAAAGATGACGGCTGTGCCTGCAGGGGGAAGACCTGGAGCCACAGTGGGGTCACTTTGGAATACTGCTCTTGGAAAATGGGCTGAAATACGGCAGGTCTGTGGTACAAGTGTGCTGTGCCCACCAGCCCTGCAGGAGTGCACTGTGAGGGAGCAGCCAGCCAGCACGTGTTGGCTGGGACCACAGGCTGGGAAGCCTGATGTGCCCAGACCTGTGTGGAGGGTTGAGGTGTTCATGGATCTCTCCCCCACCACCCGTGTGAGGAGAAGCTGCCTGGTGTGTATCCTGGTCCTTCTGAAAGGAAAACCACACCTTGCGTCAGACCAGGACTGATAGAGGTGAAGTCCAGGCTGCAGGGCAGCTTGGGGAAGTCATGTGGAAGATTAAATGGCTCACAGGAATTTAGGGCTCATCCACTGCTTTTCTGGCTGTGTTGCCACGGGATTTCTTGGAAGCTCCTAGAAAAAGAATAAGTGTTATATGTATACTATATAAATGTGTTATATCTCTATATATGTTATATCTATAACATTTATTGTATATAAAATATTTAAGATTTATTATAGATAACAAATATAATGTATATATTATATAATGTATTATATATTACATGTGTAAAATCTATATATTATATATATAAAAATAAAACTTTATTTTTTAGGGCTGTTGTGGCCCAGAGAAATATAATATCATATCGATAAATAAACATATATATAAAAAAATAATATATATTATTTAAAAATATAAATCACTTCCCTGAGCGTGGGGGAACTACAACTCCCATCATGCCCCGCGGCGAGCCCACTTCCGGCGGGCGGTGCCCTGCCGGGGTGCCCCGCCCCCGCCCGCCCCCGCGGGCTGTGGCCACGCGCGGCGGTTCCGCTTCCCCTCCGGCCCCGCCGCCGCCGCCCCGCCGGGTCCCGGTCCCGCCGCCGCGCTCAGCCCCGTCCAGCCCGCCCGCCCGTCCGTCCGCCCGTCCGTCCCCGAGGCGGCGGCGCCGCCCCACCCGGTGAGTGCGCTCACACCTGCCGGCCGCGCCCCCGCCCTTTGTGCGGCCGGGCCGCGCCGGGCCCGCGGCGGGCATCGCTCGGTGCGCGGCCCCGGCCCCGCTCCCTCCCTGCCCCTCCGTCCCTCCTCACCCCCGCCCCGCCGGGCCCGGCCCCGCCGCCCCCGCCCGCCCCGGCTGTGCGGGACCCGCGGCCCGGCCCCGCTTCCTGCGGGCCCGGCGGGCCCCGCCTCGGCCCCCGCCCCCCAGCGCCGCCCCGGGCGCGGGGCCCTCGGGAAGTGGGAAATCCTCTCCATCCCGGCGGGAGCGGCGGGGGTGCAGCTGCCGGGGTCAATTGCTGCGGGGATCCCGCCCGCCGGGCCGTGCGCGGCCGCTGTCAGTGCCCGCGGCCGCCCCGAGCCCCGCTCCCCGGCCCTGGTGATCAAACCCTGCCCCTGCTCACCGAGCCCGCCGGGGTTCGCTCCTTCCGCTGTTCTCTGCCTGGTCTCTGTCGCCGCTGTTTGTATTTGTCCCGTCAAAGCCGCGCGGGGTGGTTTGGAATCATAGAATCTCAGGATGGTTTGGGTTGGAAGGGACCTTAGGGACCATCCTGTCCCACCCCCTGCCATGGGCAGGGACACCTTCCACTAGCCCAGGTTGCTCCAAGCCCCATCCAACCTGGCCCTGGAGACTTGCAGGGATGGGGCATCCACAACTTCTCTGGGCAACCTGTGCCAGGGCCTCACCACCCTCACAGGGAAGAATTTCTTCCTAATATCCCATCTAAACCTGCTTTTAGTAGGTTAATGGTAATGCAGAGCAGGGAGGGTAAAGTTGGATTTAGCCTGGTCCATGTGGCAACTGCCCAAAGACTGATTTGGGAGCTGAGGGTTCATCAGCTGCTTTCGAGGAGCTGTGCTGTGCTTTGCCTGTAGCCAAAATAAACCAGTTCACGTGCTGCCTTACGGCCAGTGATGTCTGTCTGGATATAAAATATAATCATTGTTTTGGAGGCCTTGCAGTAATAGCCAGGTTAGGGGCAATTCAAACATGGTATGCTGTGAGTTTTTTATCATCTTATTTCTGTTTTTGCTTGGTTTTGCCTGTGTTTTGGTGGGTTTTTATACCTGAAAAAACAGGGCCTGCTCTAGAGAAGGTCTGGAATTTGCTTTGCAGCTGGAGTGTCCTCACAATGTGAGTCCTGGAGTGGCATCTCCCTAAAAAAGCAGGGACTTGCTCCTCAGTGCTTCAGTTTCTTCATTTTGGAGATGAAGGTAATTAAACTCACAGGGATATTGTGGAGGCAGGTTAAAAAATATGTTACCAGAGAGCTGGTTCCTTGTTACCGACTGAAATAAAGTGGAAGCAAAATAGAATTATAAAAATGCAAAAATGTTACGAGTTTTTGAGCAGAGTCTTTGAGCGAATAGGAGCACTTTGAACGAAGTGCACTGGGTAACGTTCTAGAGGCAGGAAAAGCCTCACTCCAAAGTTCACTGGGTGGATATTGCAGTTCTTGAGGCCAGAACAGAAATGCTTGAGGAAGAGTAACTCGGATCTTCCGTGTTATCTAAGTTGTGTGTGGAATTTGGCTCATCTTTGCGCGGACGTGGTTGTTAAAACAAAAATATCAGGCTCTTAGCTGTGGCATAATGGCTCTGGCTGGGTACTTTTTGCACTTTTTAACACCATGCAGCTTGTGCAGTGCATCCAGGGCCTGTACTCTGCTGTACAGCAGCTCGTCAGAGCTTGATTTACTGGGATGAAATTTGTAGTGGGATCCAACTTGGACCTTTGGCCAACTGGGGGAGTTTCCTCCTGGAGGCACCTGCCTGTGCTCCCTCTCTGGGCTGGATGCTGGAGTGGGTGGGTAGATGCTTGGACTGTGTATGGTAGCTCCAACCTTGGGGTTATTTTAGAATAATATCCTTTTAAAATCCCACGTGTGCTTGTGTTGTTTGTCAGCATTTTGGTTGTGTTTAAAAGGGAGAATTATTCAAGCACCTTTGGTTTCAAAATAACTTTGGAATTGAGGGTATTGATTGGTGCCGCAGATTTTTTGCTCTTGTGATGATAAGAAAAAGCCATGGGGACCCCAGACTAGGTCTGTGTATAATTAATAAGATAATTCAGCCTCAGAGCTCTTACATCTGTCTTGGGTTGGTTTTGTTTGGGTTTTTTCCCCTTTTATCTGTTTCCTGCATTAAGAGGTCTGTGCCAGTATTTTTTCGTTCCTCACAACACACACATTTTCTGACGTGGCCGCCACAACAGAGAAGCAGCTCTTTGTTCTGCAAACAAGCCCGAGTTAAAGGCACTGCTCTGGAGGGCCCAGGGATGGCACCAGCAGAGTTCCCAGTCCTGGGACAGGGCTTTGGAAGGGAGCTGAGTCTCCAAAGCATCTGCAAGGAGGTGGTGGCAGAGGGCTGGTAGTGGGGAGAGCAAGGGGAAGGAAAGGACTTCAGCAGCCAGGCCCCAGGGATTAACATGCATCCTGATGAACATATTGCTGCTGGCAGTTGGGAAAAGCCCAAAACAAGGTGGTTGTGGAGCTTTGCCTTCTTTTCCTGGGAAGGTGGTTGCTGCGATCGCTCTGCTCTGCCCTGTCAAAGTGAGGACTCTCTTTTGGGCTGGGAGTGAGTCAGGAAGGCTGTACCCAGCTCCACTTTGAGTTTTCCAAGCAGGCACCTAAATCCTTATCAAATATGATTGTCTGGCCCCAAACTCTGAGGGCTCTTTGTAGTTGCACATTGTCCTCCTGGAGGGGATTTTATCCCTGCCGTGGCAGTGCCAGGGACTGAACCTCGCAGGTTCCCGCTCGCCCTCCCAAGGGCAGCACTTCCAGAGATAACCAATCCCTTGGGTGCCAGGCCGGGCTGCCAGGTTGGCTCTCCGGAACGATAAAGTCCACTGGATGCAGAGCTGGATTGATTCTGCCTCCTGGCAAGGTCAGTCTGACCAGGGAAGCACCGTGGAGGAGGTTCCATCTCCTGCCAGCCTTCGGGAGGAGGTGGGGGAGAGGGAGGGAGTCCAGGGCACTCACCTGGGGGCAAAGGACAAGGAAGCCTTGGGCAGGGCAGGCTTTTGAGGGCAGTTTCATTTTAGCAAGGAAACACTACCTTGTTCCCTGAAGGCCTAAGGACTCTTAGCTGGCTTTCCTGTTTGGAATAACAGTGTCTTGAGCTTGATAAGACTTTGGAAAGCTCTTATTTGCATTTAAATGCAGGTGGTAAGAGGTAGTAGATGTTTTCAGGTGAGAAGAGATCTCCTAGTGACCTACCGGGGATGTGAAGAGCAGATGGAGAGCAGTGTTTATGCTCAAGCCTTACTTCACTGCTCAAGGTGTGTGAGAGCTCAGACCATGGTTTCTGGTAAAGCTGGTAAAATTATTTCTTTTACTGTGAAAATGCACACTGCATTGTTTGCATTTTGACTGATGCAGTGATCACTGTCACTGAGAGCTGCAAATGCTGGTTTTGGTCCTAATTCTCTGACTTGCCAGTTTTTTTAAAGTGGATCACTCTTTCTGTTTTCTCAGCTTCTTTTTTATTTTCTCAGCTGGGAAATGGGGATTAACCAGGCTTTGAAAATGTCTTACCTGGCAGGCAGGGATGTGAGTGTTAGGAAAATGCCTTAAAATTGAGAAGAGTTTCAGTTTTCCTGCTGAGATAAATTTTTGATCGGACACACTGTGAATTCATAAAAGGAATTCCTTGTGCTTTCTAAAGGTTGCAGTACGCTGAAAAGCTTCAGAGATTGGTGAGGCAGCTCTTTTCCTTCAGGCAAAGCAAATGGATTTTGAAATTCTGAAATTGACGTGTCTGATTTTTGTTTGTGAATTTTGAAATGCTTTTAAAAGTCTTCAGCTGCTAATGAATGTACTGGTGCGTAGAACTGTTTGAATGAGCCCACCTTACTAGGGTAATACAGTATTTTTAAGACTCTTAGAAAATATTGGGGGCTTTGTATAATGGATAGGTTGTAGTTTCCCAAAGGATCTGAGCTCGGTGTTGGTGTAGCTCTGGCAATGCCCGAAGTTCAGTGATATTTGAATCTTTGCTCAGGGCTCTTCTCTCTGCCAGTTATCAAAACTTGTCTTTAAAGGAGTTCTTTTGACAAGGCAGGTTTAATTATTTCTAATTCTGTAGTTTCATTTCAAACACAAGCAGCTGTAGGAAGGAGCCAATATGTTGAGGCAGCAGTGAATGTGATTTAAGTGGTGTTCGGTGTTAAGAAAGGAGTTAACATCATGTGAAGCAGTGAGGGCAGCTGGCAGGTGTATTCAGGAATGAAAATACATTAAAAAGTCTTTCCAATTCAACTTCTACTTTTTTTTTTTCTAAAGTTTTCTACTTCCTGTTTAGGTGCTGGATGTTTGACTCGGTGTGTGCCCATGGGAGTTAAACTGTCAGCACACGGAGCCTTTCCCATAACTCCTTTAATGAGTGAAATTTGAGTTATCTGATGGCATGGGGTTTATTTTAGAAACTCGGGATAATTTCTGCTCTCGGTTGCATTTATTTTTCATTTATAGTCATTTTAGAACTGCTTTAACTAGCAGAGGTATCTCTTGGACAGGAGCAAGGAAAAGCTGTTCCTGGAAGATGCTTTTTTTAAAATCACCTTTGAATATTTAACCCATTTCCTCTTGGAAAGGTCTCCAGTAAAGTGAGAACCTGGAGGAATGAAAGTCTTTCCCCTAAGCCTGTCTGTGGCACAAGGCCATCCTGTTTTAAAGGGATCTGGGGATTTGGGCTTCAGGCAGTAGCTGGCTGGGCAGAGATTCTTGTGGAAGTAGCTCACTAGAAGGGGCTGAATTGAAAGTGCACTTCAGCTCATGAATGATCTGCTTTAGGGTGTAAAAACCTAATTGTTTAATAAGTTATGTGAATGTTTGGAAGTGAGCAACTTTTAAAATTCGAAAACATCACTGAAAAGGTAAACTTGCTAGTTTATACTAGTGTTAAATAAACTGAGTGCTTGGAATTTTACCCAGACATTCAATCCACCTGCTGCCCTTAATT